AAAAAAAGACTCAGAGCCTAACAAACTAAGGGTATTCTTGTTAGAAACTTGAAAGGAACTTAAAAAAAAAAAAAGGGCCTCTATGAAAGGGATCTCGTTATTCACAATACTGACTTTAAAAGTGTGCAAAAGAGTAAACAGAGCAGGTCTGAGCCTGCTCTCCTTAGAAACATCTGCTTACAAGGCAGGCCCCTGCCTATGGTACCTAGGACTTGGCTGGTAAACAGTCCCCTACGCTGATGTAAAATGTCCCTAAGTGATGAGAGTGGCTCACCCTGCCTACACTGTCTGTACAAACAACACGGTTTACACTGAACATCTGCTCTCCTCCTGGGCAGAGGGTGACCAGCCTGGGAACTGAATCTCTAATGGGCTTCCTGGGCACATGTTGCTACATGTCTGCTGCTGGAGGAAGAGTGTGCTGTGACCCTTTATGGGAGGGAATGAAGATAGGAAGCCTGCACCTGGGTTCCTCAGATGCCGCTTGAGCCTTTTCCCTTATGATCCAGCTGTGACTCCTCACTACATCACTGTGATCGATCTTAGCCTTGAGAACCACTGTATGCCGAGTCCCGTGGGTCCCTCTAGCCAATCACTGGTGGCAGCGGTGGTCTTGGGATCCCAGACCCAAAGGTATATCACACTTCTATACAATCTGATAATTCTTCTTGAAAAACGATACTCAAGACTGGGACATTATTCCAAATGTCCTCAAAAATGGTAATTTCCAGTCTGAAGGTATAGAAATGAAAAAAAAATTCAGTGCCAAGAGCCAAGTCCGATTATCAGGATTAGCAAACCCACAGAGTGGAAGAGAACAGGTTCAAACTGGCCATATAAACAGTTCACAAAAGTGAGATCTAACAAACACCTCATTAATAGTTCTTCTGGAGAGACTAGACAAGATTTTCCGAAAGAACCAGGGGAGGAGCCTACCAGATGCCCTCTACCAGGCACCACCTGTTACTGGACACACAGAGGAAAGATGTTCAGCACTGGCCCTGCACGATGCCTTTTATAATTCTACCAACAACTCCCATAAGTCCTATTCAGAAAATCTGCCTTCCAAACTGCACTCACTTTCCCATCAAAAAACCAAAATACTTAACCACCACCCCAAATCATCTAGTTTTGTCACTTATAAGCTGGTGGCTTCATGCAACCCATTTCACTTCTGTAAGTGACTGAGCTAAAATTTAAACAGGTTCAAAAATAACTCCTAGACCACCATCACTGCCTTCAGGAAAGGCAACTGTGAAACAAATGTTATATAAGAAGTGAAGCAAGCCCAGTCCTATTTCTGTAGCGTATGTCACCATTTCCACTCCCCCGAGACAAACATAAAACTACCCTGGGCGCACCCTGCTGTCCTCTGGGGCATCTCTGCTGTCAGCTTACAGCGATTCTTCACCAGCTGTATTATACTAAGCTTAACCCAGGGCTCTTCCATATTACACCTTATAATCAACTTCCAAATGTTCGGCCTTCCTGATGGCCAAACCATCCCTCATGCCCTCCTAGAGTGAGGACTGTGACATGAACTGCGGAGAGGTGTGGGGTGTTGGTAGTATGAGAGGGGAGGTGCATAGCTGGAGACTCAGAGTAGGGAGACTCTTTCTGGGGGACACTCCAAGGGGGTCTGTTATCCTGGGTGACCTCCAAGTATGGTGTGGCTCTTGCATGTTGCAAAGGATATCAGGTTCACTACCAGCCACTGAACAGCCAGCAGCTCTAGCTGTGGCTGAGGGCCGAGTCAGATTCAATCTGGTTTCTTGCAGGTCTTTCAATGGTGCCTGCCTCTAGCAAAACACTTCTGCAAATCATTTCCAAGTGTGCAGGTAATTTGTGTTCTCAGTGTCACCCTACTTCACATTTTCCCACATATTTTCACAGACTTAAATTTTGACTGTACTGCTTGTGACAGCAGACCCATCAAGGGGGAATGCAGCTAACGCCAGGCACAGTGGTAGGCTTGAAATAACTGATCGGCGGTGGGGAGGAAATAAACTACAGTGCAGTGGTTAAAGGAAGACTGAAGTCAGACAGGGTCCTATGTGACCGCGAGCAAGTTATTTAAATCTCAAGCCTGTTTCCCCATCTGTAAGAGGATTACAAGTGTACTTCACATGGACTGCTGTGGTATACTTCTGTGAGGTTTAACTGAGACTGCATGTTAATGCTTAGCTTAATAGATCATGAATGCTCTTAGGATGGTTTGTTATTATCTAACCTCTTAACCAACCCTGCTGGTTAGGCATTACCATCCCCACTTTACAGATAAGGAGATTGTAGCACAGGTGATACCACAATCAGAATCCAGAACTGCTCAAGCTCTTCCTACTCCTCACTGGCCACAAGAGCCCCTGTATTTTGTGATTTTCAATGAATCAAAGCTCTAGGCCTGGCTCTCAGCAATTCTGGGTCTTCTACTAGAGATTATACAACAAAGGGACCTCTATCACATGAGGAGGACAAAGAAACTGGTTACCAAGCTATAATAAAGGCTTGCACCAGGGCTCTGAAAACAGATATGGGAGACATAGGGAGATGATCTGGAAAAAGAATCAGCAAAAAAATGAACCCCAGATTGAGATTCTGGATAGAGTGGCATATCAAGGAATCAGGGGAGGAGCCATTCTTGCATTCCAGGCAATAAACATATGGAAATGTCTCAGTCATTAACTCTGAAAATCCTAGCATTTCACATCTATCTTTTTGAGAGAAATAACTCGTATTAGACTAACACTGTCCTGTGGCTATTCAGAATAAGCACATATATCACATACCACAGTCAGGAAAACAAACCAAAAAAGTTTGTACCTTGACATAAACCAAAAATAGCCGACCACCCTGTTCAGGTCTGGTGCTCCAAATGAATCACACCTTGAACATTTCCTGTAAGCTACCAATGTCTAGGGATAAGACTCCAGTGAATAAGATAATTAAGTGAGGAAAGCTTTTCCATCACGAGCACACTTGGTTCTTGGTAAGAACAGTGGGTTTTTTTCACTTAAACATGTGTTCTGTTTTCTCGTTTTCCTTGTGAGGCCCAACTCCCTGACATCCCTTTGCAAGTAACCTCTTTTGCTTTCTATATGTTTTTGGAAGAGTTTTTCTTTCATATGAGCATATTAAAAGCTTTGAAAACTCCTGTAGTAAAGAAGCTTTAATTTAGCATTTCCCAAACTTGGGGCCATACAGTCTCCAAGAGCACAAATTCAGATGCCACACCTCTGTCAACCTGGATGCTGAATAACCTTGGGCAAGGCACTTCAAACTGAGGCCTAGTTTCAAGATCTGCGGAAGGGTGCATGCTGCTGGATTACCTGACACACGGCAGGTGAAGAACCTCAAAGAGCACCCAGCACACTGTAAGCTCCCCGAAGAACATCAGTTAATACTCAAACAGAACCAATCCCCTCTCATAATTCCAACCCACTCTAGTTACTGTGCACCAACTCCGTTCCTGCAGGACACAGCTGTATGAGAAACACAGAATTAAAGCTTTCAGGTCAGGCCACCTCCCAGCGTAGAAGGAAAAAAACCAAGATGATCCTGATTTAAGTTTTTGTTCCTGCACTTAGGTATGACTTACAGGCAAGTTTCAAGTCTGAGCATAAGATTTTCTTATCTGAAAAATTAGATACCACACAGAGTTTAGATTCAATTACAAAGCATTATATAAATGTGCACTGTTCTGGGGACACATCTTAGAAGCAGCAGCCAGAATGTGCTATACAGTCCACAATGACTAAGAATATTGCTCCAAAAAAAAAAAAAAAAGAAAAGAATATTGCTCCAACAGGAGGACCTTCATGCAAATAAAAATAAACACACACACGGTCTTTACGAAAGACCTCCTAGTACAAATATCCTAGTAAACAAACTCTTCTATACAGACACTAAGTGCAAATTTCTGCTAACTGCTTAATATAAGCCACCTGGGCCTTAGATAAACTAGTTTAACAGTTAACATAGACTAATACTAACAGGAACTTTATACATAGTCCTTTCTCAATTATTCATACTAATGAGAAGTAACAACAGAGATAATACTTAAACTGTTCATTACATAATCAAATCATACAACTGTGGGCTTTTCCTCCCCCTAACCAATGAGTCCCGCACAGATTTAACTGAAACCAATTATTAAAATAAAAATTGTACTTTTTACAAGTTCAATAAGCCTAGGATTCCAAAATTGTCAGGCCACGCGCTACCAAGGAATTAGAATACACAACCAAGCTATTTCTATTTCACAGGAGCAGTATAACCACCCGGTTTTGAATTTTCTACAACCACCCAACCATTATTGTATTTCTCCTCGGAAATGGGTCTCTTAGAAAGGTGAGAGTATCACTTAACCTCATTCCGTCTGAGTTTCCTGCACCATAAAACAGGAATGTCTGCTCGGGAGTGTTACCGTGAAGGCTAGTGACAATGCATATAAAGGACTTGGAAATAAGCCGAACAATGAACAAACTTCCAGTAAATGCGACCTGCCGTTAGTATTTTCCACACCAGTCTTACTTGCTGACTATCTGCAAGTTTAGGTTGCATCGGAGTTCTCCAAACTCTCAGGAAAAGAAGGCCGCTTTGGGGACCCCGCCTCTTTGTTACCACTCTTGCGTGGCAGCTCCATTTATACACTACCTCTTGGTGCCCCTTTACCCAACCCCAAGTCACCTTTCCCTGCTAAACCCTAAGTCCCAGGGCCCCCGCCCCGCCGCCCCGCCCGGGCCCAGCACCCTGCACGGCCCCGGCCGGCACATCCCTCCTTCCAGCCACAGACGCCACTCTTCAAACGCGCGGCACGGCCCCCCGCGCCGGCCTCGGCCACGCAGCGCCGGCTCCGCCTGAAGAAGCCGGACCCCGACCGCTGAGCCACTTTCCACGAACACGCTCCAACCTCCGTGTCCCTGGCGCGGTAACGGGGCGCACCCGCGGAGGGGCCCGAAGTGGCCAGGTGCCCTAGGACCCCCGCGCCGCCGCACACTAACCTGCAAGTGACCTGCTTGGTGCTCATGGCGGTCGGGTTGGAGCGCCGTCGTCGCGCCACCGCCTCTCACTCTCGCCGCCGCCGCCGC